TGCTTGATGCCGAACTTCTCGTTGATCGTCTTGACCAGCGGCGCGAGGCCGTTGGTGGTGCACGAGGCGCAGGAGACGACCGCCATCGACTTGGAGTCGTAGTCGTCCTGGTTGACACCGACGACGAGGGTGGGCGTCTCGGCGTCCTTGGCGGGCGCGGAGATGATCACCTTCTTGGCGCCGCCCTCGATGTGCTTCATGCAGTCGGGCGTCGTCGTGAAGGCGCCGGTGGACTCGCAGACGTACTCGACGCCGGTGTCCTTCCACGGGATCTCCGTGGGGTCGCGCGTCGCGGAGAGCGTGACGGGCAGGCCGTTGATGGAGAGGCCACCCTCAATGATCTCGCAGGTGCCCGGGAAGCGGCCGTGGACCGTGTCGTGCTCGAGCAGGTACTTCATGTACTCGGGCGACATGGGCGAGTTGATGTGCTTGAGCACGAACGACTCGCGGTCCATGGCGATGCGCACGACCTGGCGGCCGATGCGGCCGAAGCCGTTGACGCCCAGCTTGATCGGGGCGTCGGGGTTGGCCGACATGCGGACCGGGCCAGCGAGCGAGAGCGAGGAGGTAGCGAGCGAGAGGGCCATGTTGGAATCTGGAGATTGTGGCCTAGGGAGGTTCCCTAGTGAGAATATTTCGGAGGCCTAAAAGAATTCAATCCCTGCGGACGAGGCAAAAATAAATCACACGCGCAGGGGTCGCACTTCTAGCGAGGCCCACAGAGTGGGAGACTCCTATCACCGCCACTGCCACCCACGTGTCAGTCTGCCTGTGGTAGAAGAGACTGCCGGTGAGACGTCGGAGGAAGGTCGCTAGTCGAGAGAGATCGCCAGTGGATAGGGAGTCCACCGTGCTGCGAGCCTGTCGCTGTCCCTTGTCAGGAGCAGGAGAACTAGGAGAGCGCAACCAGTAGGAGGCCCGCGCTTGCCCCCGTGCCGCCGGGTGCAACCTGTCCTATACGAGAGATGGGATTCCTGTCGTGAGGGTGAACCCCCTGCCCAGCCCCCCTCCGTGTCGCGATGCGCTCCCCGCTCCCGTTCCCCTGTGTCCCTGATCGTCCTACAAGATCCTGCTTGTGCAGGTGGGGACCCTGTCCTTCTCCCACCCCTCGTTTGGCGTGTCCGTTGTATTTATTTATTTATTTATTATAAAAACGTCGTGCCATCCCTCCCTTGGGTTGTCTGTTTTCTTTCTTTCTTTTTCAAAACAATCCACCGCAAAAAATAAAGGAAGCTCTCTGGATGTCCCGGGCTTTTTTTGTTTTTACTTCTTCCTCGAGAGCAGGGCTGACGAGCCCAGCGTGTTTGGCCGCATCGGGCCTGCTGACCTTCGCGAGATCACCCGGGGCGCTGTGCCCCAACCTCCAGTTGCCTCTTCCGCCGAGGAGCTCCGCACAGCGCTTCATCGCCTCTCGCCACTGTGTCGCAGGAGGTGAGGCACGAATACCCTCACGAGCACCAACAGCCTGACCTGTATCGAGAGGCTTCACCTATTATTCTCCCTTCCCCACCCCAGAGTGACAGCTAGTCCATCGTATTCACATATCTCTATATTCCCATACCCCGTGTGGTGGCACGTCTTGCCACTTAGATCACCAATATTAGCACTTTGGGCGCCGAATAGGCGCCCAAATATTGGCACGTAATAGTCTCTGACTGCTTCTCGTGGGGCCGCCGCGCCGCGAGACAGTCGACCTCTCTACTGTTGTGACACCACAACGCGGCGCAGCTAGCGTCTTTCCCCCCACCGGTGTGACACCACACCTTCGTACTTTGAATACTCTCTACAAATATGTCTTCCTCGGCTGAGGAGGCCCGTGGCACTGCGGGCAATCTATCTCCCGCGACCAAACCGCAGGACCGCGTACGACTCAACATACACGTGCTGGACACCGATGACTCGGGTTCAGATGACCATCTCTCGAGCGAGAGACGAGGGACGCCTCACGAGACTACAGAGGGCCGAGACCGGGGCGATACCACCCGGTCAGACCACCCTGATCACCTCCACACCACGTTGGAGCATACCGAGCCCAAGGACGACACCGATGCGCTGGACAAGCCATCGTCGCCTGGCTCCGCCGAGGACAGGGCTACGCCAGCTGGAATGCCTTCTGCCAGGCTGCCGGCGAGCCCTCCTCCGGCGGAAGCCTCACTGGACCCGAAAGGGTTTGACTTGAACGTGGCAGCGATCAAGCCATCCGCAGTGGACTCGCCTCATGGTTTGAGCACCACGCAACCATCTTTTGACGCCCGAACGGGCATCGAAGGCGCGCTGCTCGGCTGCTTCTGCGTTGCGCGCGCTCTGCTCCTCTGCAGCACTAGCTTCGAGCCCCCCGCTCTCTTGGCCCAGAAGCAGGCGCGCGATGTTGTCGATGAGCGCCTCGCGGCTGGTCCACGGCTGCACTGAGTGCCCGTCCTGCCAGCGGTCGATCTCGCGCCTGAGGCTCTTCTGGTCGTCCTTGAGCGCGGACGGCATCTTGTCGATGATCGCGTGCCACGTGTCGATCGGGCCAGTGAAAAGGCCAGGTACGGACTCGAACTGCTTGATGAGACGCAGGCCGTTCTCCCGCGACTTGGCCAGGTCCATGCCCATCGTGAAGAAGACCGCGTTCTTGAACTCCTTTTTGGCGATCTTGGCCTCGGCACTCCCGTGGGTGATCTGGTAGAGTTTCGCGATCTGCTCCATGAGGTAGACACCGTCGTACAGCAGGCGAGGGTCGCCCTCATACCGCTGGCGGAACGCGGCGACATGAGCGGAGTCGCCGTCGAGGCAGGTGTCGATGAACTTGGCGATGTACGCGTTCGCCTCGCCGAGCTCCGTGTCACCCTGCATCGCTGCGCCGATGGTGTACGTCGTGTGCCCGAGCGCCTCGCGTATCTTCGGATGCTTCCGCGACAAGTCGCGATGGAATCTGGAGAGCAGCGCGGGTAGCGCGTCGCGACGCAGCCCAGCGACGTGCTTGAGGGCGGCAACCTCAGGCGTCGACGCGTCCTTGACCTTTGAGATGGGCTCGGGTGCGTTGGCTGGGGCGGTCGGCGCAGGGGGCATGGACCCGCCCGGCACTGCGCTTGACGGTGCTGGCTGGCAGTAACTCCCTGCGGCTGGCGGCGCTGCCATGTGGCATCCGGGTATCCACGCTGGCGCGGCCCAAGCGGCTTGCGGTACTGCATTAGGCAGGGTCCAGGCTGCTTGCGGGGCCAGCCCGGTTGGGCCCCCGCCGTTGGGCATCGCAAAGCTTGGGTAGCAGGGCGCGTGAGCAGCGCCTCCGCAGGCGTGGTACGCGTTGCCAGGCGGCAGGATGCCAGGCGGCAGGAACCCTGGGTACCCTGGTGGCATGCCCAGTCCAGGCAGGTGGGCCATCTGTGGCGTCGGGGGCTGCTGCCGCCACAGTGCATCGTGCGTTGTTGCTTGCCGTGCTGCTGCTGGCGTGCTGCCAAACCCGGTGCCGCAGGAGGCGCTGCTGCCCTGGCGTGCCGGCAGAATGCCCAGCGGAGGCTGCTGCGCAAAGGTGGGCATCCAATACTGCTGCTGCGCCACCATACCTGGGATGGCACAGGAGCCCAGGTTGTATTGCGGCAAAGGCTGGCCACAGCCATACGCTGTGGCTGCTGCGGGCTGCGGCATCGCTCCGACTGGGGCGATGCCCGGGATAAGGGGATTTCCCTGGTGTTGTGCTGCTCGCTCAGGCACCGCCCACTGACCATGTTGGTCGACGGTGGGTGTATGCTGTTGAGCGTGCGGCTGCGCTGGATCGTTTGTAGCTGAGCTACCATGCACAAGACCCGCACCCGCTCCCAGTCCCACTCCGGCGTGGGGAGTGCCAGGCGGGGCGGCGAGCGGAGATGGAGAGGGCGGTGCTTCGCTGTTGCGCGAGAGCGGTGAGAGCCAGTCTCCGAGGTCGTCTTGCTCCATAGGATTCGAACAATACGAAGGAACCCAACACACACGAAACGAAGGGACACACGGACTAATTGATATACGAAACTAATCGGCGGTTATTATTAGCAACGGAGCGCGTGAATGGGCTACCCGTAGTGGGGTAGGCGCATGTACGAAAAGATTAGGAGCAGCAGGGACCCGAGGGACAATGTGGAAGACGGCTACTCCCCATCGCGGGAGGACGACCCCCCCCCCCCGGCGTTAAAGCCGTAAAGCCGTACGGTACTCAGTTGGTACGGGCCGTAGTCGCCGACCCGCACTCCACACTCACAAAGAACCCTGCACACAAAGATCGCACGCGCACGGGCGGGGACCTGTTCCTTTTTTTATTTAGTTATTCACTAGGCTCAAACCTCTAGCTACATGTAAAAGCTGGTGCGGGGCTCTCGCGACCCTGTGGAGCTGTCCCACAGGGTGGCTTCGTCACAGCTCCTGCTTGACGGTGCCCTCCTCGCCGGGTGGCCCGTCCGCGCCCCGCAGCAGCGCGTCCCTCGCCCTCCGCACCGCGGCGAGCCCCTCCTCCAGCTCGGGCGTGGCGGGCGCGATGCAGTGCGCCATGCCGAGGTACGACAGCGCAAGCTCGTGCCGCTGCAGCGGCGACGGCTGCGCCGCGTCCGAGAGCGCCGCCACGCCGTCCGCCATGAAGGCCTCGGCGTAGGCGTGCGCCTCGCCCGACGCGCGGTACGAGGAGCAAAACGCGCCGCGAGCCGCGTCGGGTGCGCCGAGCGCCTCGAGGAACTCGCCGTGCAGGAGGTGCACCTTTGGCTCCGTCGCGAGCCCTCCCCCGGGCGAGAGGAGCGCCGCATACGCCTCCGCAGTCTCCGCCCAGTACGCGGCTCGCTCGAGGGGCGCGTCCGGCCTGGCCGCCACTTCCGCCCCCGCCGCCGCCACTTCCGCCTCCGCCGCCGCCACTCCCGCCTCCGCCGCCGCCGCCGCCTCCTCGCCCCGCCCCTGCCGCAGCGCGACGACGAGCGTGCGTCTCCTCCCGCCCGACACCCGCGCCACCGCGTGCGGCAGCGACGCCGCGTAGAGGTAGAGGTCGCCCTGCTGCGGGCGGAGCGTCTGCGCGCCGAGCCGCAGCTCGCCTGTTGCAGGAAGGTTCCAGGAACGGTCTTGGAAAGGTCTAGGAAAGGTCTGCGCGCCGAGCCGCAGCTCGCCGCCAGAGTAGTCTCCGCCGGCAGAGAGCATCACGTTGACGTTGAAGGTGCGGCGAGTGCCGTCGCGCGGCTTCGTGTCGACGTGCCTGCAGAGGCGAGGCGCGTGTGTGCGTCGTGGGGCACGGGCCCCGGGTGGTCGCGAGGCGGGCGGAGGACGCGAGGCGCGCGGGTTGAGGCGCGAGGCGGGCGGACGCACCAGTCGAAGCGCGAGTGCCTCTCGTCAAACTCGTGCATCAGACTAAACTCGACCAGCGAGCCGAGCCTCTGCGCCGTGCTCGACCGCTCGCCCCCACCCCCGTGCCCGCCCAGCACTCGCGTCGCCATCGCCGGCGACAGGTGCGCCGCGACCCGCTCGTACACCCAGTCGAGCGCGCCGGCCGCCTGCAGCCTGCCGCCCTCGTCGAAGCGGTTGAGCCGTGCGACGCCGTAGTCGTCCGCCATCCTCGGCAGGTTGGGTATGCTGCGCTCGTCGACCTCGAGAGAGGCGCCCTCGGTGAAGATGCGCGCGATGCTGCTGCACTCGGCGGCAGTGAAGGCGGCAGGGAAGTAGAGCACTGGAGCCGGCTCGTCTGAGCGGCCGGTAGCGGTGGCCGCCGCTGGCAGGAGTAGCAGCATATACACCACGTATTCGGGTTGCTCGCGGTTGTCGGTGTCGCCCAGTGGTCGCCCGAGCGGTGGACACAAAAATTGGATTCTTTCATAACATCCAAGGCTCAGCACTAGGGGGTTGTACACGCTCTGAGGCCTCAGACCCCCCTCTGAGGAGGGGTCGGACCCCTGGCTTGGCAGCACAGAGGGTTTGACTCTGACTCTGTGCCGCCTCTGTGGCCTCTCTTGGCTGATTTTGGCCTCAGAGGGTCCCCGGCCGAGGGTCTGTCTTGGCGCGGCACAGAGGGCGTTGACCTCAGAGGGTAGCCCCCTCTCGGCAGACAGAGGCGAGAGCCCCGGGCGGAGGCCGGAGCGCCTAGCCCTCCACGAACGGCGCTGACCAGGGAGGGCGGGGAGGGGGCGGAAGCAGCGAGCATGACTTAGGCGCTACTCTACGCTTCGAGCGCCCGGCACCACACACGCTTGCTGCTGCTGCAGGCTCGCCCACAGCGCCCGCGCCGACCCCTGCGCGACAGCTTCGCGCGGCCAGCGGCGCCGCCGACCCGTCAACTTGAGTGAGGATGTGCTTGGAGCGGCCGCCCGAGGAGGAGGTAGTGATCTCCACATCCGTCCCCTGCTCCAGCTTGGCCATGAGGCGCCGCGGCGTCCTAGTGAACTCGAACTTGAGGTATCCGAAACCAATGGAAGCTGGGCCTGCTGGGGATAATCTCTCTCTGCTTGGTGGGGGATCACGACAGACTTGAAATACCGCTGAAAACTCCCTCTGAGGAGCGGCCTCGCGGGGCTTGCCTTGGCGTCTCAGAGGGTCCCCGTAGCCTCAGAGGCTGCGCCGAGAGAGGCTGGCTTGGCGGCACAGGCCTTCAGAGGGTCGGCCCAGGCACCCTCTGAGCCGCTCGTGGATGGCCTCTCTTGGCACAGAGGGTACCCTCTGAGACGAGCAGATCTGGGCCCCCTTGCCTCAGACCCCCCCCCCCTCTGTGACAACCCCCTAGTGGCTAAGCTCAAAAGATTTTTGAAAACTGCCGATGTAGATACCACCTGGGTCAAAACGAAGAACGACGAGAGTGGGACGACCGCGAGGTGGCATGAAGGTTGCAGCGAGAATCGGCGAGGGACTGCGAACGAAGAGAGATAGCTGATAGATAGGAAGAGGCGGACGCCCAAGGGTGGGCGACGGCTAGCGCATCACACCCCTCTCCTTAAAATCCCTGTGTGTGTGGTGGCGGCGTGCCGTCCTCCCATCCCTCCCTTGGGTTGTCTGTTTCTTTCTTTCTTTTCCTGGGTCAACACTCCTGCGCGTGCCAATTGGGGCAAGAAGAGGCAAACGGCCAACGGCTTCACACACGCACACAAAACAACTCTCTCTCTCACACACAAACACACACACACGGCTTCTTACGCTCGGCCACAGTGGAGGGTGCCCGTGCCGCCTAGTTCCGCGGACGGCCCCTCCAGCCTCCACCCTTCATGTACGCATCATGTAATCCCCACAGACGCTGTCGTGGGATCGCTTAAAGAAAGAAAGAAAACAGGCTGCGCCAGGGTGGGAGGAGGACAGGGTCCCCACCTGCTTGTCATCATGTGAGAGAGTGCGTTATATTCTTGTTTTGTCCGCTTTGGAGCACTTGGAGTGCAGTCGGTAACCTCACATCCAGGGCCGGGGAGCTCAGAAGCGCACCCAGCGGGCCGGATGATCGGCATCGGGTTACGGGCTAGAGAGCCCTAGCCCCGGGGGTGCGCGGTCGCAGGGCCATAACACGGGTCTCCGAGGGATAGCTCCGCGCTCCGGGTTTCCCCTAGCAGCAGAACGCACCCTCTACTCAGAGCTAGTAATACGAGAATACTCTCCGAGGGTTAGCCCCGCGTACCAGGTTTCCCCTTAACTGCAGCACGCCCCCTCTACTCGGAGCTAGTGATACGGCAATACGTACCGCCCCCACGCAGTACCTGTACTACTCGACGATAATACAAGAATACGCAGCTTGGAAGTTGCAGACGCCTATAAAGAAAAAACAGCACGCTAAATTTCGGCGGCTAAAAAGCAAAGGACGGGCGCTTTTGATCGGCAAAGCAAAGTTGGAGTAACGGCGACCGCGTCGCCACAATGCCAGTCGCCTGTCGAGCAGCCTTGGCGGCGCGCATGCGCCGCAGGGTTGACCGACAGCCGCGCGCCTCGAGCCTCTCGCTCCACTCGCGGCACGACGCACCCCGCGCGCCGGTCAGCGCAACAGGAGTATTGCGACATGCTGCACAACGCCAAGGACAGCACTGAGAAGCTGGCGCCAGTCGCCCACCAGCATGTCTCAGCACCGGGTGAGGGAGCATGCTGCGCACGCTGATGCAGCACGAGGTCACCACCAATCAGGCCCTCACGCCACTGCACGGCCGCCCTCGAGCACCAGCAGCCGCGCTGCGCCATGCTCAAGCTCAGGAGGCCACCCTGCTTCTCGCAGCTTTGTGCAGCGCAGCGAGCGAGCAGCGCCGCACCAGGCAGACCCATGGCGTACTCAGCCAGCCGTGAGGCGGAGGCAGGCCGAGTGAGCGCGAGCCGCGCGGGAGGCCATGCCCCGCGCACCGGCGAGCGATGGCCTTCTGTCTGCCCGCCCAATGGGTGGCAGTTGCCTCTGCTGCTGTGGCATGCCTTACGGCTGCGACTGGCCGGCGCCTCGGCGCGTCACGCCTTCTCGCCCACCACCGTGGCCTCTTGATCCCTCTCGGCTTCTCGGATCGCATCCCGTCGTTGTCTCACCCTGTCTGCTGCCGGCACGAACCTCTCCGGGCTGCCTCGCGTCCTTTGTGGCAAGATCCGCGTCGGGGAAGGCCGATCCCTAGGTGCATCCCCGGCTCGGGGTGCGCTCGCCTGCTGTGGCGGCTGCCGCCCCCTCGCCGCCAATCCGTCTTCTCGCCTCCTCTTCTCACGGACCACAGGGGCTGCACAACAAAAGCACACAAACACTCCCTGTCCCTGCATGGCTTGGCGTAGGCGCGTCCTCATCCCCTCCTCCGCCTCTCCTTCCACCCGCTCCGAGATCCGTTCCAGGATGGCGCTAACCACCTCTTCAGCCACTCCCGTAGCCGCAGGTCCGTCTTCCGGCTTGACGTGGAACAGTGTGCGAAATTTACCGCCGCACCCATGACAGGCGGCTAGCGTGGGGAAGCGCTCCATCCCGAGCGACTCGAGAGGGATCCCCACCGCTTGCCAGTGGCGCGTCACTTGTATCGCCCGCTGCTTGGCCACCCGGGCCACCATCCTCAGGGCGCCTCCCTCCATCCCGAGCAGCGCACCCGCCATCTCCGCCTCCGCCATTCCCACTAGTCGCAGGAACCTATTTTCTTCTCAAGAACAAGGCTGTGAACCGGTCTCAATGCCCCACCCCCCTGCACGCGGGCCTTCTAAGCCCGCGGGTAGTCCCCCCCCATCCCCAGGGCCTCCAGGGCTCGCACCTCAACCTCTCACAGGCCAGCGCACAGCGCCATACGCGGTATTTTCTTCTCAATAACAAGGCTGTGAACACCGAGGGCTCGGCTTGCGGAGTAGGGCTGAGTGAGCACCGCAGCTGGGGACGCTCAATGACGTCGGGAGGTTAAGAGCCGGTGGTACGCTGCCCAATTCCCGGGACGCCGCCACTTTTTCTTCCTCCTACAACCGTAGATGAGGCTCTACGCCGCGCTCTGCACTGCGCTTTACTGCGCGTGCGTGGGCCTCCAGGGCGCGGGCGTCAATGTCGTCGGCCCGGCCGGGCCGTCGCTCGCGTCCAAGCTCCGCACGGATGTCTCTTCGGTCGGATCCATCCTCTCCGCTGAGGGCGCCGGCGCCGCCGCGGGCGCGCTGCTGATACCGCTGCTGCTCGGCCGGCTGCCCGGCCACATCGTGCTCTGCGTCCTCTCGGCCAGCATCGGCGTCTCACTCTTCGGCGTGTGGCTCTGCGGCAGCATCAGAGAGGTGACCATCCTCTACTTTGCGGTGGGCGGCCTCCTTGGCTCCTTTTCTGGCTGCGCCAACACATTGCTCGCGTGGCTGCACGCTGGCCGGAACCTCGGCCCGTGGGTCAACCTGGTAAACGCCTGCTTCGGGCTCGGGTCGGGCGGCGTGCCTCTGCTGTTTGTGGCGGCCGAGCGGCGCCTCGGCGATGGGCTGCGCGTCTTCCCCGCCCTAGGGCTCGCCGCGGCGGGTGTGGCCCTCTCGGCCGCCTGCCTGCCGAGCCCGCCCCGCCCCAAGGACGCCAAGGGTGGCGGAGGCGGAGGCGGAGGCGGCCGCGGCCGCACGTGGGTCGTGGTTGGCCCGCTGATGGTGGTGCTCGCGCTGGGCGTGGGGAGCGAGATTGCGTTTGGCGCGTGGTGCTACGAGTATGCCACCGCGCGGGTGGGCATGCCGCCGACGGAGGCAGCCTACCTGACCGCCGTCTACTGGAGCTCCTTCACGTGCGGCCGGCTGGGCGCTGTGCCGCTGGCGGCGGCGCTGCCTCCCGAGGGCCTGCTGCTGCCGAGCCTCGTCCTCGAGGTGGCCTCGGCCCTTCTCGTGCTCTGCGACCCCTCCTCGGAGAGAGTGCTCTGGGCCGCCACCGTCGGCGCCGGCGTCGGCGTCTGCGCGCTCTACTCGAACGTCATGTCGCTGCTGGCGGGCCACGGGCTCATGTCGGCGCCAATCGTGTCGGCGATGCAGTTCGCGTGCTCGCTGGGGCACATGACCCTGCCCAACCTCGTCGCGCTCGTCATGCGCCACACCAGCCTCGGCCACGAGTCCCTCTTCGTGGTCCTCGCCGCCGCGAACGCCGCCTGCCTCGTCCTGGTGGCCGCCGTCTCGCTGCACTTGCGGCGGCGCTACAAGAGCGCTCCGCCGGCGGCGCTCTTCGACGCGGGGGCGAAGCAGGTGTGAGCGCGTAGGGGATCGCCCACCTCGCTTTGTCCGAGAAGCGTGACGTGTGTGGCTCCTTGCAGGGTGGCAAGGGGCGCGCTCTATTTTGTGTGTCGTCGTTTTTAGTGCACCCGCGCAGCCCCAGTCGGGC